CCAGTCGGACGCGTCAAGGGGGAAACCGAGGAAGACACAGGGAAGGGTGCGGGCAGTGAGCTTGTCCGTGCTAGAGGCACGAACGTGAGCAAGACAGCCCCAGACGTGGAACGCAGACGCGTCACCAGGAGACCCGGTCCAAAGCAGGGTCGGCGAAACCTGCGGCCGCTTGGGGTGCGGCCACAGGTTAAGCTGGTGAGCAGCGTAGCGCACGGCGAACAGCCACAGAAAATGGGGTGCACCGGCATGGATTATGGAGGTGCGAGCCACCTCCATGACCAAACCGATGCGTCGCTCAGCGACCCCATTCTGCTGTGGGGAGTCCGGCAGGGTGAACGTCTGGGTGATGCCCTCCGTACGACAGAAGCGACCAAGGACACCTGAGGCAAACTCGCCACCACGGTCGGAGTGAAGACGCAGGACAGGGAGACCTCGGTGGACACGGGCAGCGACAAGCCAGGGGATGAGAGCGTCAGGCATGTCGGCCTTGCACTTGAGGGGAAAGACTGTGGTGTAGCGAGTGAAGTTGTCGACGAGCATGAGGAAGTAGCGCTCTCGACGCGGCCCATGGACGAGGGCGGGGCCCCAGACGTCCATGTGCAGGGTCTGCAGCGGTGCGGTCGTAGGGGGAAACGAGGAGGAGTGAGGGGCACGGCGAAGCCGACCCTCGACACAAGGCGTGCAAGGTGGGGCGGGGGAGGAGGGAAATGCGGGGAACGAACCAGGGAGACCAAGGATGAGACCGTGCTGGGACATGTGACGCAGACGTGGGAGCGCATGGTGACCTAGGCGGTGGTGCCAAAGGAGGGTCGGGTGAGTGAGGGACTGACAGGAGCAGGCAGCAGCAACCTGGGTAGACGCAGCCACCTGAAGGGACGCCCCAGCCGGGGGGGTCACGGTGTCCAGGGTGAACAGGCCGGACACCGGGTCCCGGGGGAACGTGGACAGGGGGGCACCAGTGGCGGCCTCGGTACAGACAGCATTCCGCTCGTGACCAGGGAATGTAGTGGTGACGCCAAGGTCCGGGAGGCAGCCGACACCAACTAGGTTCCTGGAGAACGAGGGGATATGCAGACGTGTGAGAGAGCCCGAAGGAACCGCCGGACAGGGAAGGGTGGTGGAACTGCGAGCGACGACTGGACCGCCGGAGGGGTCAGCAAGAGAAACTGCAGCAGAAACAGGAAGCGGCGTCAGCGTAGTAGAGTCGCGGAAGAAACGCCGGGAAGCGCCAGAGTCCAAGGTGAAGGAAAGCGAAGCAGTGGCGTCTGGCGACGGGGCGACGGCGGAAGCACCAAGGCTAAACAAGGCAGAAGCTCCTACGCCTGACGCAGCAGGGGAGGCTAAGCTAGGCACACCTACACTAGACGACAAGGAGTAATAAGAGGGGAGCACACTAGAGTCATCAGCGTACATCACATGCAGGGCAGAAACAATGGCATCCATGTCCATGTCAAAAATCTGAACTCTACGACTAAGCAAACTGTGCCAGTCCGGGAGGTCGAGCGAAGGGCCAAAACGCTGACAAAACAGGTCGTCTAGGCGACGAAAACAGCGGGCAGAGGCGTGACCGATCTTACCGCAAACGAAGCCGCGGCGAGGACCTGTCTGGATCTTTTACTGACAGCGCACGCCTCCCGAACCGCCACCCGGCACACCACCACGCGCATGACCACCACCAGCGCCAGGCCACCCGGGCGGGAGGGCACTCGCCTGCCTCGTCTGCGGCGGCTGCTGCGGCTGGTGCGGTTGCTGCGGCTGCTGCGACTGCTGCGGCTGCTGTGGCGGCTGCTGCTGCTGCGGCTGCTCAGCTGGACCGAGCAGAGTCCCCTCGTCCACTCCACCACCAGACGACCCGACTCAACCACCACCTCCACTGGCACCCCCACCACCTCCGCCGCGCCCAGCCTTAGGGCGGCGGCCCTTCCCCGGACGGAACTGCGCTGCAGCGGCGGTCTCAACCACAGCTGCAGAACCATCGGAGAAGGTGCACTGAGTGGGGGCACAACCCTGAAAGATAGGGACCGGCACAGTACCTAGGACGGGCGCGACGGGGCCAGCTAGGACGGGCGCGTGGGTGCAGCTAGGACGGGCGCGCGGGCGCGGCTAGGACGGGTGCGGGGTCGACTAGGACGGGCGCGGGGGTGGCTAGGGCCTAGGGCGAAAGCATGGGCGGGCGGCGGGACCTACCTACTGCTGATACCATCTTAGAACTGAGTAATTGAATGACTAGAGAACATGCGTACAAGCATACATATCTAAGGGTTGTACTCTCTAAGAGGTGGCCCTATACAGTCTATACAAACACTAGATATGGTAATGTTTGACAATATAGTCTAGAGAGTTTTACCCACTAAGGCACAAACATATATAGTCTACGGTAACTGCATAAGATATGTTTGACACACCCCCTAGACTATATAGGGGCAGTGCCTAACAAGGGAAGAAGCAGCTCAGGGCGGCACTACTAGTCCAGCCTCTGAGACAAGGGTCTAAAGACCAGCCAAAGGAATACAGACAAGGCAAGAGCAAGACCAGGGCGGCACTACTAGTCCAGCCACAGGGAGAGGCCACAAGTCCAGTCTGAGTAAAATATATATATAAAGGACCTAGCAAGTGAGAGGCTACAGGAACGAGACCTAGCTGTACACAGTGCCGCTGATGATCTTTAGGTGCAAGCACCTTCGTAAAGATATCAGCTGTGTTGGCACCAGAGGCCAAGTGTACTACGCGCACCTGGCAGCGCTGCTGGAGCTCGCGCAGGAGGAAGTACCGCAGCTGGATGTGCTGCGCTCTGCCCTCGAGTCGAGGCTCCTGACACAGGAGGATCATGGCCCTGTTGTCAGCGTACAGGACCGAGGCAGAGCTAGGCCGCTCACCTAAGTCAGTGAGGAAGAAGGTCAGCCAGCGGAGCTCCTGTGCCGCCATGGCACCAGCGTAGATCTCGGCCTCACAGCTGAACTGGGCAACAGACGAGGAGCGGGTAGCTCTCCACGAGACGGCACCTGAACCAAGGCTGAAGCAGTAGCCCTGCGAGGACCTAAGGGTCTCGGCGTCGTCTGCCCAAGAAGCGTCTGTGTGCCCAGTAAGGACCATTGGCCTGCGTCCTCCTAGCACTAACCCCATGCCCCATGTACTTGCAAGATAACGCAAAACCCTCTTAGCGGCAGACCAGTGCTGAGGTCGGTTTATGCCTGTAGCCACAAAGCGAGCCAAGATGCTGAGAGGGTATGCGAGATTTGGACGAGTGCAAGTCATCAGGTACATGAGGCAACCCACCAGCTCTGCGTAAGGACCACTGGGCTCTGCAGACTCCTCAGGAACTGGAGCAGAGAGCCTGTGGTCTAGGGGCAGAGGAGTGGGCTGTGCGGAGGAGAACTGAAGGCCGAACGTCTGAAGGACCTGGCGCACCAAGTGTAACTGAGTCAAAGTGATAGTACGCGCTGCTCTGTCCCTGGAGATCTGCAAGCCAAGGTAGTGGCGTAGTTCTCCAAGGTCAGTGCAGGTGTGTCTCTTCAGCAGCTCTGCCTTCACGGAGGCCAGTGCGTCCCTGTCTGCCATGGCAAAGACCAGTTCGTCTACGTAAAGAAGGATGTAGAATGGGGTCTGGCCAGCATGAACGAAGAGCGAGGGGTCTGCGGAGGAAGGAAAGAACTGCAAGTCAGCAAGCGTAGCACGCAGCGTGTCGTGCCACTCACGGGGAGCTTGCCGCAGGCCGTAGACGGGGCGCCGCAGGAGCCACTGGGTCTCAGGAGGGAAGGTGCCAGTGAAGCCCTGAGGGCGGCGCAGGTAGACCTGCTCGTGAAGACTGCCCTGAAGAAACGCAGTGGAGAAGTCGAGGGAGTGAAGCTTGTAGTCACGCTGAGCTGCTACGTGTAGTAGCACCCGAAGAGTAGTCATCTTCGGGGTCAGAGCGAAGGTCTGGAAGAAGTCCACCCCCTCACGCTGATTGAAACCTCTAGCCACGTAGCGCGCCTTGAACACAGGCGGCTCTCTAGGAGGGCGCTTCACCTTGAAGAGCCAGCGGCCATCGACTATGTTCACCCCATGTGGGGGAATTACGTCGACGTAGGTGCCGGTGGATCTCCAAGATGCCATCTCCTGCTCCATGGCAGCTATCTACTGAGAGGCCCAGGGTCCCGAGACCGCCTCAGCGTAAGTGCGAGGGGTCGGGATGTCGAAAGCGTCGGGGTCACCCTCAGGGACTAGAAGTATAGAGCAGAGATGGGGAGCAGCCTCGGATAGGAAAGCAAGCACGTACTGGTGGTCCTCCAGGACGTCACTGCCGAGGGCAGGAGTGTTGTAGTCACAATAGGCTTAGATGTGCCTATAATGAGAGATAGAGAGCACAGTCGGATTTCCGTCAGACGGCTTCAAATATTGATAACGATCTGGTCGCTGAATCAAACGGTGATCTAAAAGTTGGATCTGGAGCGCGTTGCTGTCTTCTATCAGCAGCAAGTTGAATCATGAAATTCCATGAAGATTTGACGACGCTATGGCAGTTTGACTGGCAGGAGGTATAGCAGCCACTAGAGTCTTAGGAGTACAAACTTAGCAAGAAGAGTTCGAGATTGAGATGGTTCCCAGCCTCTACATACCCCAAGAGCCGAGGTCAAGGTTGGTGGTACACCACCACAGAGTCCCCAACCATGAAGAGTCTCGAAACCAACCCTCCAAGGGGCTACACCAAGTGAAATGTAACACTACACAAAGTAACGTTACTATTTTCACTATTTAATATTTATCCGCGTCCCTTGGGCTTGAAATCTTGAGCTCTTGTTCTTGGATCTGCAAGATACATTCTTCTTGAGTTGATGGGGGCTTGCTGCACACACCTGCGACACGATGGACACTTCACACTCGACAAAATAGAAAAAACACATGCGACACACAAACGACGACTTGACATGCGAGTTGTAAAAACTCGCTAATGTCTTGACCGACACAAACCACATTGTGATACACCATTCAAACACACACACAAGCACTGGATAGCAATGACATAGACTCAAAATTCATTCCATGCCATGCATGCACACACACAAACAAGGACGACAAGCCGAGTGGAAGCCATAGGGTTGCACCAACAAACTCCCCCTCGGATTGTTGGCCTTAGAATCTGCTCCCCTTAGTTCAGAGCCATCCCAGCAAGCTTGCAACACTTCCAATGCTGCTGCTCAACCAGCCTCTTGGTCATCATATCAGCAGGCTGCGCCGTTGTCTTCACGTAGTGCAACTCCACTTCACCCGCGGTTACCATGCTCCTCACCCAATGCCACTTCACCTTCATGTGCTTGGTAAGGCCATGAAGAACCGGGTTCTTAGCCAATGCAATAGCACCCTGGCTATCACAATAGAGTGGGGTAGGTCCTTGCTGCTCCTCCCCCAATTCAGCTAGCAAACGCCGCTGCCACACAACCTCTCTTATGGCACGGAAGAGTGCCATGTACTCGGACTCCACTGAGCTCAATGCTTGGTCCACTTGCTTCTTGCTCTCCCAAGCTGTTGGCCCTCCACCAACACAGCAGATGAAGCCTCCAACACTTGTCATGTCCTCTGGTTCTGATGCCCAAGATGCATCAGAGAAGGCGGTGAGAAAGAGTCTCCCGGGTTCGGCTCCATCCGCACCCTTTTGACGCCTTTGTGCCGCCGCGGAGTATTGCAGTCCAACAGTTGCTGTTTGGCCAAGGTACTTGGCCACCCTCTCTCCAGCTGCTACCTGCTCCTCATTAGGGCATTGGACAACCCTAGCCAGCTGCCCGGTAGCAAAGGCTGCATCCGGCCTTGTGTGAACGGCCGCATACATGAGGCTGCCCACCAAGGAGTGAAAACGGCGCCTCTCCTCTTCACCAACACTTTCCTCCGCTGGTCCTTTCACACACTTGAACCCTGAGGGAAGAGGAGTAGCCACATGACCTTCACTCTTCCCAAAGTTTGCAGCCAAGGCCTCCAAGTACTTCTTTTGATTCACTCGCATCCACCGCTTCTCCACATCTCGCTCAATGTGAAGCCCAAGGTAGTAGTTGACGTCACCAAGGGTCTTGCACTTGAACTTGTCTTGAAGCTTCAGCATCACCTCCTTCACAAGGTCAGAGGAGGGTGAGAATATGAGGATGTCATCCACATAAACCACCATGAAGCTCCTCTGCTCTCCCTCGCCAAGCATGAACAAGGATTGATCGGCCGTTGAGGGAGTGAAGCCGATCGCCTCCAAGACTTCCCGCAGCTTGATGTACCATTGCCTAGGGGCTTGCTTGAGGCCATAGAGTGCTTTCTTCAGCTTCCACACTCTGCCACTCCCATCATTGTACCCCTCTGGCTGCTCCATGTAGGTCTCTTCCTCCAAAACGCCGTTGAGGAAGGCCGTTACAATGTCCATTTGCTTCACCACCCATCCTTTGATGGTTGCCGCGGCGAAGAGAGTTCGAAGGGTTGTACCCTTCACCACAGGAGCATACACTTCATTGTAGTTCTTCTTCTCCTGCTGCTGGTACCCCTTGGCTACAAGTCT